CCGGGAACAATGCTGCTGCCGCCGCTGCCACCACCAAGGCATCTCTCGCGTTTCCAACACTCTCTGCCCAGACTGATTTTTAACTGGAAATTGTCACAGCAGCGGGACACCAGAGCCCCAGACGGCACTGCCCCCTGCCACTTTAATGTGAATTCGACGAATGAAGAGCGTTTCTAATAAAGTTTGTCATTCAGTCCTTCAGTTTATTCAATGCTCTTTGGGAAGGGACTGGGAGGGTGTATTCTATCAACCTGGCTGCCAAACCTTCAGAAGGCAGGACTGTGCATCCCTCCTCAGGCACTTCCCGTCTCTTCTGTCTGGTTGTCCCCATGTAATCCCAGACTCTAGTCATTTTACAAAGGCCTGCCCCGGCGGAGAGAATGGGCCTGGGGCCTGGGGCCTAGGGCCATATAATGCTAGCTTCCATGGTGGAAAAACAGGCCAAATTATTGATGCCAGGGCCGTGATGTCCACAGGGTGGCTCTGTAAGGGGCAGAGGATCAAGCAGGGTAAACCCTAAGGGCCAACAAAGTGACTCAGAGGTGGGGCTGGATGCGACTTTGGAAGTGCGTGGTGTCACCAAGAAACAGTGCAAGTTGCTGAAGGGTGAGCGTGTGAGGTCAGGAGCCAGTTCAGGCTGGGGTCTAGGTCAGGACTAGTGCAGTATCCACTCAGTAGTACAGGCCACCGACACACACTCTGCCAAGCTCTGAGGACCCAGAGCTCAAGCAGATCTATCCCATCCCCAGCGGAGACGTTTACAGCACAGCCTAATAAAGTGAGAGGGAGCTCACAAAGGGGTTGGGCAAGATAGGGCCTGAAGGGAGGGCTTCCTGGAGGAGGAAGTACTCTTCACACCCGCTTTTTAAGGGAAGACAACCTTGGTGAGAACAGACCAAAAGAACCAGACATGCTGCACCTGCCCCCAGGGGCTGTGTCCTCCACCACCACTCTGACCTCTGACTGGGCTCAGCCTCAGGCAGGTTTGGGCTGTAGAAGGGCAGCTTCCTGCATAGGCACGGGCTCAGGCTTCAGGGTCAGGAGGCCTGGGTTTGAGTCCCAGCTTTATATATGCAGTGACCTTGGATAAGTCACCTCCTCCTCCACACAGTGTAGGGGCTGAACCAGGTGGCCAGTGGATGAGGACCCTCCCTCTCCCAACTCATAGGGTCTCAGTTTCAGCACCAGCTTTCCAGCTTGGCTGCATCTGCCTTGCTTATGCAATTGCCTCCCGCCAGCAGTGCCCTCCTGGTCCTTACTCCACCCTCCTCCAGGAAGCCCTCCCTAACCACCCACCAAACTCTGCCCACTCTGAGAGCCAGCTCCCTGCCTCCTGGGCTGATGACACCTCTCCTGGCACCCAGGACCCTCACCCAAACACTTGGAATGGAGCCCCTCTCTGCCCTGTGGCCTCATCTGCTCAGTAAGCTGTGAGCCTTGGGACAGTAGGGCCTGTGCCCATTCTTCCCACACAGCCCTGGGGCCAGACACATGGACTCAGCGAAGGCCTGGCGGTGGTGGGGAATGAGAAGATATCCCCTTTATAGCTGGGGTGCCCATGAAACCTGCAAGGAAAATCCTGGGGGCAGAGAGGAATTCCTGGTGGATCCTCCAGGACACCACGCCTCTGAATCCCTGGCCATTCCACGGGTATTGTTGGGCATTTGCATGTGCCTAGCGCCGCCTGGGGACAAGAGGGAGATGTGGCCCTGCCCTTCTGGAGCTCACGTTCTAAGGGGGAGACGACGCAGAAGAAAAGCAACTGTGAGGGGCTTCCCTGGTGGCGCAGTGGTTGAGAGTCCGCCTGCTGATGCGGGGGACACGGGTTCGTGCCCCGGTCCGGGAAGAGCCCACATGCCGCGGAGCCGCTGGGCCCGTGAGCCATGGCCGCTGAGCCTGTGCGTCCGGAGCCTGTGCTCCGCAACGGGGGAGGCCACAGCAGTGAGAGGCCCGCGTACCGCAAAAAAAAGCAACTGTGAGGTGACGTCAGAGGGAAGAGATGCTCTGGGCCAGGGGCTAAGAGCACGGAGCAGAGGGACCCCATTACTGAGGGTGATCAAGGAAGGCCTCTGGGGAGATGCCGAGTTCTGAAAAAACAAGAGGGAGCGAAACATGTGAGAGGCAGTGGTGGGGGGCTCTCTCAGTAGGGGGAACTTCCGGCTGCCCCATCCTGCTCAAAGCGGGGAGTTCTGTGCCCCGATGAGCTGAGCTGAGGTCAGAAGCCCTGCACTGCACTCTGCCCAGGCTTCTGTTCAGTTTGCCTGTGTATGTGCAACGTATGTCCAGGGCTTCTTGTGTATCAGTACCCTCACACACACACACACACACACACACACACACACACACACACACAAACAAACAAACACTGATGGCCTTTCCCTGGCGGACGTCCTGGACACCTCATGACCCTCCAGGGCCAGTGCCCATCATCACCCAGCCCCAGGCCCTCCCATCCCCGGCATGTTCTCTGAGGTTCCTGACACCGGCACCAGCTGAAACAGTCCTGCTAATCGCTTTTTAATGGTCTGCAGAAGAGCATATGGTGAGCTCGGTTCCCCACAGATCTGAGCCCTGCTGAGTCCCCCCGTTCACACTTTACCCCAATGTCACATTCCCACCTTCCGGATCAAAGCCACCCCTCTTT